CTCGGACATCACACAACAACCAAACCCACTAATTTCCTACACAAATCATCAACCAAAACCCATTTTCAAATTGCCAAAACTCATCCCTATTTCAACAGAATTTTCGGACAACGCAAGCCCATTTCATACAACCACTTAAACTCACAAATCAGCACTTAACCCACCAATTTTCGAAAATTAGAGAAGCTAACTTACCAAAAATCCTCAACTAGTAGGTTGGAGCTGCAGATTGAGGGGAAGAGTCGGTGGGAAAATTGGGGAGAAATTCGGGAACCATTAGCAATTGAAAGGAACAAAGATTAGGGTGAACCCAACATACATCAAGGCTAAAAATAGGAGTTTCTGGGCTGGTTTTACCAGGAAAAATCAAAGCTTATACCCAGCAACAGCCAGCAGCAGGGAAGGGAGAAGCAGAGCAGATCCGACGGCTTTTCTGCAAGAGAGAGAAGTTCTAAGTTCTAGACTTGTTCTTGGGCAAGAGGAGAACAAAAATCATCAAGTTCTCTTACCAATTTCCGAGAGAAGTAAGTGTCAGTGAAGGCTGGTGGTGTTCGGCTGCAGAGGAAGAAAGAACAAGGCAGACGCGAAAATGGCTGGGAAGGAAGGAAGAAAGAAAGAAGAAAAAGAAAAAAAAGAGATGAGTTAGCCGGCCTTATCCAATAACCTTTTAACCCCTTTAAGGTTTGAAAAATTGACGGTTAGGTCCATTAATAATGTTTCCTCACCATTAAGTCCTTAACTCAACTTATATGCTCTAGGAAATTTTGGGGTATTACAATTGGGTTAGCCACCCATTCGCAGTAATCAACTTTCCTAACGAAACCAGCTTGTAGAAGTTTCTCTACCTCTTCTTTAATAGCCTAAAGCCTCTCCCCCCTAAAGAGATGCCGCTTCTGGGCCACTGGTTTCTTCAATGGATTGGTGCTAAACTTGTGTTGGGATATTGAGTTTGGAATTCCTGGCATGTCTGCCGAAGTCCATGCGAACACATCATTGTTAGCTCGGAGAAAAGCTATTAGTTCTGTTCTTTCCTCCGGGTTCAATTTAGTTCCGATCTGCGTCTTTCGGGTCGGATCTCTGTCATCAATGAGCACTTCTTCAACATCTTCGACTCGAGCAACTCTGGTTTCATCTTCCAGTCGATTATCGACGATCTCTACACCCATAACTTGCTGATTATCAAGAATTCGCTGGGAAATGGCCTCGGGTGTCTGATCTTTGCCCTTCATTGGTTGTGTTACCGAGGTGATATAACAATGTCTGGCCACCTCCTGGTTTCCTCGTAGTGTTGCTATTCCCATAGGAGTTGGGAACTTCATGCAGAGGTGAGATTAGGAAACCACAGCTCGGATTTCAGTCAATGTGGGTCGGCCAATAACAATGTTGAAAAAGGACGCCATCTTGACGACAAGGAACCGGACTGAAGGGGTTACATAGGTCCGGCCACTCCCAAAAGCCACATGGAGGGTAAGAACTCCTTCTACCAGAACAGGTTGGTTGGTGAAACCATAAATAGGACCATCATATTTCTGCAACAACGCTGGATCCAGTCCAAGACTCTCGAAACAGTGGAAGTACATGATGTCTGGTGCACTCCAGTGTCGACAAGGACACACTATACTTCACAGTTATTAATCATGACAGAAGTGACCAAGGGATCATTGTGGGGTGTAATAACTATATCAAGATCAGCAGATGTGAAAGTAATGGGTTGATTCTTCCATTCAGCATCATCAAACTTCCGTTTCTGAGCTCGGTTTTGATGCTTAACCTCTTTGACATACAACTTTCGCTGTTTAGAGCTCAGTCCACCTGCTTCCAGATCCCCTGTGATCATGTGTATGATTCTAGCTGGTGCTAGGAGCGGAGGTGGGTCTTGCTGATATCCCACACCTTGCCTTGTTCTCTGACAAATCGTGGGTTACGGGCTCCTTGAGGCTGTGGCCCTTGTTCTCTGACAAATCGTAGCTGTGCAGCTCTCTGAACATACTCATTCAGCATTCCCCTCTGAGCTAGACTTTCCAGTTCGGACTTTAAGCTGTTACACTGCTCTGTAGTATGGCCGTGATCTTGATGAAAATCACAATATCTGGTATGATCTCGGCTAACAGCAATAGTTTTCATTGGGACAGGACGCCTTAAATCCATCTTATTCTTGATCTGCATAAAAATTTGTGACCTCGACAAATTAAAAAGAGTCCAATTAACTGAAGGTTTACCTGCAGATTGTTGCGGGGGTGTTGAGTTTGGCCTTCCGTATTTCGGTGGGGAGGTCAACATCGGACCTCGGTTCTGCGCCATCCTCATCCTTTTCTAGCTCGGATTGTCATCTCTCCATTCTGGGTTCTAGTTCTCAGAAGGAGGTGGGTTTTGCACCAGGGCGTATTCCTCAGCGGTTATAAATTTTAGAGACCTATCGTTCACCTCACTAAAGGTGGTGGCAGCATGTTTGATCAAACTGTCTCTGAACCTGTCATGCTTAAGACTGGAGATCACAGCTGCAATCCCCACAGCTTGATCAAAGGAACTAACCTCCAATACTGCATCATTGAACCTGCTCATATAGTTTTTCAGAGATTCTCCATCCCTCTATTTAACTCGCATCAACTCAGAAGTAGTTTTCCTAATCAACCTTCTACTGGAAAACTTAGTGGCAAAGGCAAATGCCATTTCTGTATAAGAGCTAATTGACCTCGGAGGTAAACTGTAATACCAAGTTCGAGCATTACCTCGGAGAGTAGAGGGGAAGATTTTGCACATCAACGCGTTAGAGGCGTTCTGAGCTTGCATGCAAGAGTAGAAAGCATGCAGATGATCATCAGGATCCTTTGTCCTATCATAAGTCTCCAGTTGTGGTATTTTAAAGCCAGCAGGATAGGGTTCCAGTTTAATGTTGGTGTTCAGGGGGTGAGGTATGGAGTTAGCAGCATGGTGTGGGGGTGGAGCACCTCAGTGTTCAACTACTAGCTTTTCTAAGCTATCAAGGCGTCGAGTGACATCATTAGGGAGGGGTTGTTGAGCAGGTGCTATGTGGGATTGACCCTAAGATTCACTAACAGCGGGAGCATGCTGAACCGGTTGAGGATTCTGTTGTGGAGCTAGGGGTTGTTGAGCAGGGTTCAGTAAATTAATAAGGGGATCACCAGGATTGTTTCTAGTTAAAAGTTGAGACAGTAC